CGCCTGGTCAGTAGCTTTGTTTTCATCCTTAACATGGTATTTTGGAGAGTGAAAGTTTTAAATTTTGATGAAATCCAATTTATCAATTTTTAAAATTGATCATGCTTTTGATGTAAGGTCTAAGAATCTGTCATCGGGCTGGGCATGGTGGCTCACGCCTGTAATCCCAGCACTTTGGGAGGCCGAGGTGGGTGGATCACGAGGTCAGGGGTTCGAGACCAGCTTGACCAACATGGTGAAACCGCATCTCTACTAAAAATACAAAAATTAGCTTGGCGTGGCGGTGGGCGCCTGTAATCCCAGCTACTCAGGAGACTGAGGCAGGAGAATTGCTTGAACCCGGGAGGTGGAGGTTGCAGTGAGCTGAGATAGCGCCACTGCACTCCAGCCTGGGCAAAAGAGCGAGACTCCATCCAAAAAAAAAAAAAAGAATCTGTCATCAAGCCCTAGATCCTGAAGATTTTCTCCTAAATGTTTTGTAGTTTTATGTTTTATCTTTGAACCTATGATCTATTTTGAGATGATTTTTGTGTAAGGTATGATATGAGGTTTAGGTTGAGGTTCATTTTTTGTTTATGGATATCCAGCACCTTTTGTTGAAAAGACTTTTTCACTTGCGGAATCAATCTTTTCTCCATTGAACTGTTTTTGCCACTTTGAAAAATCAACTGTCTGTACTTGTATGGGGCTGTTTCCAGGTCTTCTATTCTGTACTATTGATCTATGTGTCTGTTCCTCCACCAATATCACAAAGTTTTGATTACTACATCTTTGTCATGTCTTAAAATCAGGTACATTGATTCCTTCCATTTTATTCTGTTTTGACTTTTTTAGTTCTCTTTTTTACCCTTTGTTCATATAAATTTAAAAATAGTCTTATGTATATTTACAAAAATATGTCTAGAAATCTGATAGAAATTGTGTTAAACCTATATATCAGTTTGGATATAATTGACATTTTTATTATGCTGAGGCTCCCAGTCCATGGATACAGCATGTCTCCCTGTGATGGTTAATTTTAGGTGTCAACTTGATGAGTTAAGGGATAGCCAGATAGCTGGCAAAACTTTATTTCTGGGTGTGTCTCTGAGGATGCTTCTGGAAGAGACTGGTGTTTGAATCAGTGGACTGAGTAAGGAAGATCTGCCCTCTTTTAGTGAGGATGGGCAACATTCAATCAGTTAAGAGCTTGGATAGAACAAAAAGGCAGAGGAAAGGTGAATTCGCTCTTTCTTCTGGAGCTGGGACACCAATCTTCTGCCCTTGGATATCAGAACTCCAGGTTATCTGGCCACTGGACTCCAAGACTTATACAAGTGCTATGAGATTCCCCAGTCCCAATCTCTACCTCTGTAGAGTCTGAGGCCTTCAGCCTCTGACGGACAGATATGCCAGCAGCTCTCCTGGTTCTCAAATGTGGGCTGAGCCACTCCACCAGCTTCTCAGGTTCTCCAACTTGCAGACAGCATATCGTGGAACCTCTTGGCCTCCATGATCTCACATGAGTCAATTCCCATAGTAAATCCCACCTCATCCATCTATTGATATACATATCAATAGATATATATAAATCACATCTCATCCATCTATTGATATATATATATCCTATTGGTTCTGTTTCTCTGGAGAATGCTGACTAATACATTCCTCTTTATTTGAATCTTCTTTGATTTCTTTCATCAGTGTTTGCAATTTTCAGCATGCAAGTCTTATACGTGTTTTGTTAAATTTGTACCTATTTCATTTTTGAGCAATTTAAATGGTATTATATTTTAAATTTTGGTTTTCATGGGTTTATTGCTAGTATACAGAATTAAAGTTAACTTGGCTGGGCGTGGTGGCTCATGCCTGTAATCCAAGAACTTTGGGAGGCCAAGGCGGCTGGATTACCTGAGGTCAGGAGATTGAGACCAGCCTGGCCAACATGGTGAAACCCCGTCTCTGCTAAAAATACAAAAATCAGTTGGGCATGGTGGCATGCACCCGTAGTCCCAGTTACTCAGGAGACTGAGGCTGGAGAATCGCTTGAACCCAGGAGTCGGAGGTTGTGGTGAGCCAAGATCGTACCACTGCACTCCAACCTGGGTGACAGAGCAAAACTCCATCTGAAAAAAAAGAATTAAAGTTAACTTTTTGTATGTTGATCATGTAGTCTGTCACCATTCTGAACTCATTTATCAGTTCTAAGAGTCTCTTCTGTAGATTCTGTAGAATTTCCCATGAAGGCTATTATGCCATCTACAAATAGAGACAGTTTTATTTCTTTCTTTCTGATATGTATGCCCTTTATTTCCTTTTCTAGCCTTATTGCTCTGGCTAGGACTTCCAGTGCTATACTCAATAAAAGTGGTGAGAGAGGAAGAAACACTGTGACTGAGAAGTCATGGTGAGGCCAGGGCCTGTCACTACAACTGCTGCCACCGAACATCAGAGAAAGTTAAAAGGAACTTCAATAAACATACGTGTGCACGTGTCTTTATAGCAGCATGATTTATAATCCTTTGGGTATATCCCCCAGTACTGGGATGGCTGGGTCATATGGTACATCTAGTTCTAGATCCTTGAGGAATCGCAAAACTGTTTTCCCATATGGTTGAACTAGTTTACAATCCCCACAACAGTGTAAAAGTGTTCCTATTCTCCACATCCTCCTCCAGCACCTGTTGTTTCCTGACTTTAATGATCGCCATTCTAACTGGTGTAAGATGGTATCTCATTGTGGTTTTGATTTGCATTTCTCTGATGGCCAGTGATGATGATCATTTTTTCATGTGCCTGTTGGCTGTATGAATGTCTTCTTTTGAGAAATGTCTGTTCACAATAGCAAAGACTGGAATCACCCACAATGTCCATCAGTGACAGACTGGATTAAGAAAATGTGGCACATATACACAATGGAAATACTATGCAGCCATAAAAAAGGATGAGTTTTGTGTCCTTGTAGGGACATGGATGCAGCTGGAAACCATCATTCTCAGCAAACTATCACAAGAACAGAAAACCAAACACCGCATGTTCTCACTCATAGGTGGGGAACTGAACAATGAGATCACTTGGACTCGGGAGGGGAAACATCACACACCAGGGGCTATCATGGGGAGGGGGAGGGGGAAGGTGGAGGGATTGCATTGGGAGTTATACACTGATGTAAATGACGAGTTGATGGGTGCTGACGAGTTGATGGGTGCAGCACAGCCAACATGGCACAAGTATACAATGTAACACAACCTGCACGTTATGCCAAACAATGTTCCCTAGAACTTAAAGTATAATAATAATAAAAATAAATAAATAAATAAATAAAGGAACTTCAAGCGCCAAACACTGAGCCTTATCTAAAAGCCAAAAATAATTGCCCAAATCTACCCAAAAGAATGTTATCAATCATGCTATTTTGCCTGTTAAAGCATAAGGCCCATCAGCATTAAGCTCCAGGCCAGACCAGACAATACAAGGTCCCAGAAGCCTAAGTTAGAGCCACTAAAACTGGGCAGAAGGCTGATTTCAGGATGTGTTTCTTCTAATACAAACCATAAGCCTCCAGCGGTAGTTGACAGTGGCACAAAGCTGGATCATTCACCATGGAAGAACTGTCAAGAAAACTCATGGGGTCACTTAATGCACAAGATTTGAAGACTACAAAGCAGCAGTTAACATATCAAGGAATGCTAAGTGTACAGACTCCATAGGAAATACCTGCACTGAAAATTAATCTTTGGTTAGCTTTCTGAAAGAGATTAATGAAGAGAATTTGCCTCATACCTTGTCAGACCCTGAGAGGAAGCCAGATTCTCAATTATGTACCATAAAGAAGTTAAAGAATAACTTTCATAATTGAACCAAGAGCAATTTGGTTCCTAAACAAGCCGTGGGCAGATATTGAGTGACTAGTGCTGCCATGAAAGACAGAGTTAATAATTTGTTAGAGAAACACAAGTCAAGTTTCTATCAGTAAAGCCATAGCAACTCTCTCAAGGAGATCTTGCAAGACTGGGAGAAAAGACCCCAAAACAGTTCCCTTTGTCTTTGTTCAGACCCTTAGTAGGACTCAAGCATTAAAAAAAATAATAAAAAAATAAAAAAATTAATGGTCGAGGGTACAAAGGTTAATAGGGTTAATTATTAAAAACCATGGATAAGTTAGTGAACAGGAAGTAAAACATATCAAAAACAAGACATACTCCAGTTTGTTTCAGGGAGCATATAGTAACAGACATTTAAACATTAAGCAAAATCAGCAGTCCATTCAACCTTGTTTTGGGCCTTGGTCATGTGCACTGCAAAAATCAAAAGCCACAAGCCAGAGGCCTAGTTTGACAGTTGGCAGCTTAAATTCAGTCATTCTCAGCATTCATGGCATAAGAGCAAATGGAACTAATGGGGACAAATGCCACAACAGCTTACAACACAAAGCACAGGCGTTGGACTTCCAGTTGAAAAAGGCTCTTCCATTTTCTAAACAAGAGAGCTCCCCAAACTCAAGCTGGTGACACAATCATGAAGCGAAAAGGAGTCTCAAAAGGGACCCAAATGAATCCAAATACTGAAAAGAAGACAATAGCAGAGGATCAGAAGAAACAACTGGAAGAATAACAGAAATCAAAGGGTAAAATCTGTTAGTGGTCTCCTATAACACGTAAAACAGAAAGAAAAATAATAGAGAAAATAAATATGCTGGAAGAGCATTGAAAAAGAAGAGGAAGAAAAGAAAGAACAGCTTCAACTGCTCAATAAAACTAATAACACTCTGACAGAATATGTGCTCATTGAAAGGGGTGTGGTTTTTAATGAAATATTTGCCATATTGTCCAGTATTCCTGAGGTCAAAGAACTGCTAAATTCTGGTTCTACAAAGCAAAGTTGTTAGCCAGTAGAGGCACCTACAATGCTATTGGGCTATATGAAAAGGCCATTAAAAAGGGGGCAATACCAACACAAGTGTTACAGGAAGTTGTTCTTAATATTTTGCAAGATCCAAACAAAACCGTGGAAGGAATTACCTCTGACTTTTTAGTTGCTAAGACTGATATGACATCAACAGAAGAGTTGGCCAAGAAGATGGAATCTGGAAAGTCTTGTTCCTTTCCAAAACACAAACAAACAAACAAAAAACAAAGCAACAGGTTACAGCAACACTCCCAATAATGAAGGCATAACAGGATAATCATCCTGGTATCAAATTGTAGATCGCTCTAACCCTGGAATCAGTGAAGTGGCAGAATTGCAAGACATGGAACTTATCACTCCTGTATGGTGTTCGGTGGAGATGAAACAAGCAGTATCCAACTAGCTGGAAAGGCTGCAGGAATGCAGTTTAGTAGTGACTTCCCTTGATGAGCTATTAGGAGTGAAAGAAACACAGCATTTTATATTTTATAAAAGTGAGATTTGCCTGTAACATTAGAGTTTCAAATCCTTGAATCATAATTTCTGGAGGCTTTTTAAAAGGTGTTTTAGACCCTCTGAGCTAAGAAATGCCCTTGTTCAAGTGACCTGGAAAAGAATGTATAATAGGGAGGCATAATGGATGCAGAAGGTTATGTATGGCCTCTCAGGATTTCAAGTAATTCACTTGGCTTACTCAGGTTTTCTATACCCACAGGAAAGTCTTTGGTATATGTGTTTAAGACCCGTAGTTTGCCATAGTTTTAGAGCGTACATAAATTTCAAACTATTGAGAATTAATTTATCCCATAAGTATGGTAAAAATTTGTACTTTGTTGATGTACTTTAACCCCAACATAGTTCTTTTTTATATTAGAAGGTTGGTGCCACAGTATGATGGTCTTTCCTTTCTGCATCCACCTTAGCAGGGAGGGTAAGTCCTTTCAGGGTGGAAGAACTGAGCTTTCACGCTGGCTTGCCAGGCTAGATGGGACATAACAGACCACCTGGTTCAAATTTCCTCACTTGCAGATTAATTTGTACTAGGTTTGTCTTTGCTCAGAGCCTGCAAATAACATTTATGTATGATCTTTGATTTCTGTCACAGTATCCCTGTAGATGAAGCGTAATCCTTTCTGTGCCAGGTCTCCTGGAATGAAATGCAATCTTGAATTGGGGTGGTCATCTGGCTCTTTTGGTTTATATTCAAACTTAATTTTGCATTTAGTATTCAGAAATGCTCAAAGTAAAAACAAAAGGGGCAAGAGAGAGAGATGAGGAGGAGAAAGGGGTGAGGACACTGCTTCTTCATTTCAGTGCTTTGATCTGCCAGGGGACAGTGGCCTGAGAAGGCAATGCAAGTCCTGGAGACTGTTATAAGTTCTTTTATCTGAGCAACTGCTCTACGAAAGGTAAAATCAGAGTCATCATAGTAATATAATATATAGAAAACCCTGGTCAAGATATTTTAAATTTTAACTTTGTGAATATTTAAGTATTATCCTTTAAACAATCATTAGCATTTTGTTTATTCCTGCTTTTAAAAAAAGAGTGATGAGAGAAAACATTCTTGTCTCTATCCTACCTAGGGAGAAAGACTTCAATCTTTCATCATTAAGTACGTTAGCTGTAGCATTTTGTTTTTGTAGATGTTCTTTCTTTAAAAAAATTTTAGTTGACACATAATAATTATATATATTTATGGTGCACAGAGTGATATTTTGAAATATGCATACGAAGTATAATGATCAAATTAGGGTAATTAGGATATCCAGCATATCAAACATTTATCATTTCTTTGTGTTGGGAACATTCAAAATTCCTTCTACTAGCTTTTTAAAAAATGCAATAACTTATAGTTTACCATATGCACCCTACAGTGCTGCGGAACATCAGAACTCATTTTTCATATCTAGCTGAAATTTGTAACCATTCATAAACTTCTCTGTATCCTCCCTACCCCTCTGCCCTTCCAGCCTCTGATAACCATAACTCTCTACTTCTATGGCTCCTTTTTTTTTTTTTAAGCTCCCACATATAAGTAAGGACACGTGGTATTTGTCTTTCTGTGCCTGACTTATTTTACTTAACAATGTCCTCCAGGCTCATCTATGTTGCTACAAATGACAGGATTTCTTTCTTTTTTTTTTTTTTTAATGGTTGAGTAGTATTCTATTGTGCATATAATACCATATTTTTTAATTCATTCATCTGTTGATGGACATTTAGGTTGATTCCACACCTTTACAATAGTGAATAGTGCTGCAATAAACATGAGCATCCCTTTGAGAAACTGATTTCCTTTGGATAAATACCCAGTAGTAGGATTCCTGGATTGTATGGTAGTTCTATTTTTAGTTTTTACAGAAGTCTTTATACTACTTTCAATAATGGTTCTACTAGTTTACATTCCCACCAACAGTGTATAAGAATTTCCCTTTCTTCACATCCTTGCTAGCATTTGTTATTTTTTGTCTTTTTGATAATAACCAATCTTAGCTGGGGGGAGATAATCTCATTGTGGTTTTGACTTGCATTTCCTCATGATCAGTGATGTTGAACATCTTTTCCTATATTTGTTGACCATTTATCTGTATGCCTTCTTTTGAGAAATGTCTAGTTAGATAATTTGCCCACTTTTAAATTCGGTTATTTGTTTTTTGGTTAAGTTGTTTGAGTTCTTTGTGTATTCTGAATATCAGTCCCTTGTTGGGTGAATAGTTTGCAAACTTTTCTCCCATTCTGCAAGTTGTCTCCTCACTCTGCTGATTGTTTTCTTTGCTGTGCAGTAGTTTTTTAGTTTGATATAGTCCTATTTGTCTGTTTTGTTGCCTTGTTGCCTGTGCTTTTGAAGTCTTAGCCATAAAATCTATGGCTATAACAATGCCCTGAAGCAGTTCCTCTATATTTTCTTCTAGTAGTTTTGCAGCTTCAGGTCTTACATTTAAGTCTTTAATCCATTTTCAGTTGATTGTTGTGTATGGTAAGAGACAAAGGTCTAGTTTCATTCTTCAGCATATAGATATCCAATTATTCTGGCACCATTTATTGAGAAGATATCCTTTCTCTGATATATGTTTTAGGTGCCTTTGTTGAATGTCAGATGAATGCACAGATTTGTCTCTGGGTTTACTATTCTGTTTCATTAGCTTATGTGTCTATATGCCAGTACCATGCTGTCTTGGTAACTGCAGCTTTATAGTATGTTTTGAAGTAAGGTAGTGTGATATCTCTAGCTTTGATTTTTTGCTTAGCATTGCTTTGGCTATGTGGGATCTTTTGTGGTTCCATACAAATTTTAGGATTTTTTTTTCTATGTCTGTGAAGAATGTCATTGGTATTTTGATAGGCATTGCATTGAATCTGTGGATTGTTTTGGGTAGTATGATCATTTTAACAATATCAGTTCTTACAATCCATGAGCATGGGATGTTCTTCCACTATTTTGTGTTCTCTTAAATTTCTTTCATCAGTATTTTGTAGTTTTTATTGTGGAGGTCTTTCACCTCCTTGGTTAAATGTATTCCTAGATATTTTATTTTATTTTTATAGCTATTGAAAATGGGATTGCTTTTTAAATGTGTTCTTCAGCTATTTATTGTTGATGTATAAAATACTACTAATTTTAATGTTGATTTTGCATCCTGCGACTTTACTGAATTTGTTTATTAGTTCTAAGAGATTTTTTGGTGGAGTCTCTAGTTTTTTTCTATATATAAGATCATGTCATCTGCAAAGAGGGACAATTTGACTTTTTCTTTTCCAGTTTGGATCGTTTATTTCTTTCTTCTTCTTGATCATTCTGATTAGGACTTCCACTACTATACTGAATAGGAGTGGTCAAAGTGGGCATCTTTGCCTTGTTTCAGTGCATAGAGAAAGAAAGGCTCTTGGTTTTCTCCATTCAGTAGCTGTGGGTTTGTTATATATGGTCTTTATTATGTTGAGATATGTTCTTTCTGTGCCTAATTTGTTGAGAGTCAGCTTTTATTTTGAAGGGATACTGAATTTTATTAAATCCTTTTTTTCTGCATCTATTGAGATGATCACATGTTTTTTGTCTTTCATTCTGCTGCTGTGATGTATCACATTTATTGATTTGTGTGTGTTGAACCATCCTTGCATCCCTAGGATAAATTTTATTTGATCAAGATGTATTATCTTTTTGATGTGTTATTGGATTGGCTTACTAGTATTTTGCTGAAGATTTTTGCATCTATGTTAATCAGGGATATTGCCTGTAGTTTTCTTTTTTGTTGTTTCCTTGTCTGGTTTTGGTATCAGGGTAATGCTGGTCTCATAGAACGAGTTAGGAAAAATTCCCCTTTCAATTTTTTTGAGCAGTTTATGAAGAATTAATGTTAGTTTGTTATAAGTTTGGTAGGATTTAGCAGTAAAGCTGTTTGGTCCTGGGCTTTTCTTTGTTGGGAGAGTTTTTTATTACTGGTTCAATCTTGTTACTTGTTACTGGTATGTTCAGATTTTCTGTTCCTTTCTGGTTCAATCTTGGTGTGTTGTATATGTCCAGGCATTTATCTATTTCCTCTAGGTTTCCAATTTGTTAGCATATAATTGTTCATAATAGTCTATGATGATCCTTTGTATTTCTGTGGTATCAGTTGTAATGTCTCCTTTTTCATTTGAGGATCCAGTCTCACTCCCCTACATATGGCTTGCCAATTATCCCAGCACCATATGTTGAATAGGGTATCCTTTCTCTACTTATGTGTTTTTGTGTGCTATGTCAAAGATCAGTTGGCTGTAAGTATTTGGCTTTATTTCTGGGGTCTCTATTCTGTTACATTGGTCTATGTGTTTATTTTTATACCAGTACCATGACCATTTTACCTCTTTTTATGTTTTTTGACTTAAAGTCTATTTTGCCTAATATAAATAGAGCTACTCCTACCTGCTTTTGGTTTCTATTTGTGTAAAATATCTTTTTTCATCCCATCAGTTTCAATCTATGTGTCTTTACAGGTGAAGTGAATTTCTTGTAAGCAGCCTGTAGTTGTGTCTTATCTTTTTTATCCATTCAGCTAGTCTGTGTCTTTTAACTGGATACGTAAACTGTTTACATTCAAGGTTGTTATTGATAGGTGAGGATGTACTCCTGTCATTTTCTTATTAAGTTTTTGATTGACTTGTACATCCTTTGTTTTTTCTTCCTTTCTTATTGGTTACTTTTGTGATTTGGTGGTTTTCTGTAGTGACAACATTTTATTTCTTTTGTTTTTTCATTTATCTGCTCTACCAGTGATGTTTATACTTTTTTGTGTTTTCATGATGGTAGACATCTTCCTTTAACTTCCAAATGTAGAATTCCCTTAAGCAGCTTGGGTCTTGAGAGGTGAGTGAGATCCAGTGTGAATTTTCTCCCTGAAACAATGTAGTCACATGAACTCCAGGCAGCTCCCATACTAGGCTTATGGCCCATAAGGGCCAAGAGGTTCTCCTGTGGCTAACATTATAGGTGTCCACGGTAAGAATGTGCATCACCGTGAATCTCTTGCTTACCATTTTCCCACAATGGGGAGTTCTTCCTGGAACTGAGCTGATCCCAGCCAGGCCAACTGCTCTCTTCCCTTTCCTTCAGTGCCTCAGAGGGTTCCTGTCACTTCTCTGATGAATTCCAATATTTTCTCTTAGACACTCTATTCAATATGTGGTTGTCCATTCTCTGTTTTGATCTTTCTTTGTGAAAGAGGTGAGTGTTGGGCATCTCTAGTCAGCCATGATGTCTCCTTGGTAGATGTTATTTATCACGTTGAGAAAGTTCCTCTATAATATCTAGCTTTCTGAGTTTTTTTTTTTTTTTTGAGACGGAGTCTCGCTCTGTCGCCCAGGCTGGAGTGCAGTGGCCGGATCTCGGCTCACTGCAAGCTCCGCCTCCCGGGTTCACGCCATTCTCCTGCCTCAGCCTCCCGAGTAGCTGGGACTACAGGCGCCTGCCACCTCGCCCGGCTAGTTTTTTGTATTTTTAGTAGAGATGAGGTTTCACCGTGTTAGCCAGGATGGTCTCGATCTCCTGACCTCGTGATCCACCCATCTCGGCCTCCCAAAGTGCTGGGATTACAGGCTTGAGCCACCGCGCCCGGCGCTTTCTGAGTTTTTAATCATGAAAGGGTGTAGAATTTTGTCAAATCTTTTTTCTAATAACTTAATAGAGTCATCTGATTTTTCTTCTTTAGCCTGTTATTGCAATGAACTATACTGACAGATTTTCAAACATAGAATCAGCCATGCATCCTCATTCTGCTCGTTTGGGGTTTATTTTGCTATTTTTTCCTAGGTTTTTATTTTATTTTATTTTTTTGACACGGAGTCTTGCTCTGTCACCTAGGCTGCAGTGCAGTGGCATGATCTCAGCTCACTGCAACCTCTGCTTCCTGGATTCAAGTGATTCTCCTGTCTCAGCCTCCCAAGTAGCGGGGACTACAGGCACCCACCACCATGCGCAGCTAATTTTTGTATTTTTAGTAGAGATGAGGCTTCACCATGTTGGCCAGGCTGGTCTCAAACTCCTGATCTCAAATGATCTGCCCACCTCCAAAAGTGCTAAGATTACAAGTGTGAGCCACCGTGCCCAGCCTCTTTCTAGCTTTTAAAGGTGTGAGCTTCGATTATTGATTTGAAATCTTTTTTCTTAATGTAAGAATTTAGAGATTGAAATTTCCCTCTCAGCATTTCTTTAGCTGTATCTCACATATTCATTTGTGTGTGTGTGTGTGTATCTAGATCACAAGAAATTTGAGAATAAATAATACACTGTTAAATAACCGAAAGGCTTTTGTGCAGACACATTTATTTTTATTTCTCTTGGGTATTCTCTAGGAGTGTAATTGCTGGATCATATGGTAATTCTATGTTTAAACACCTGAGGAACTGCCAGATTATTTTCCAAAGCAAAAATACCATTTTAAGTTTCCACTACCATATAAGGGTATCTCATTGTGGTTTTATTTGCATTTTCCTGATTATTCATGACATGGAGGATCTTTTCATATGTTTTTGTAGAAATATCTACTTAGATACTTTCTCTTTTTGAAAATTGAGTTATTTGTATTTTTATTACTGAGTTGTAAATGATTATCTATCTATCTATCTATCTATCTATCTATCTATCTATCTATCATCCATACCAGTTCCTTCTCAGATATTATAATTTGGAATATTTTCTCCCATTCTGTGAGGTATTTTTTTTACTTTATTATCCAAGGTCATGAAGATTTATCCCTACATTTTCTTTTAAAAGATTTATAGTTTTAACTCTTGCATTTAAATCTTTGATCCACTTTGAGTTAAATTATTTATATTGTATATGTATGTGGCTATCCAGTTGTCCCAGAATCATGTTGAAGAGACTATTCTTTCATCATCGAATGGTCCTAGCAGGCTTGTTGAAACTCAGTTGACCACAGATGTGTGGATTTGTTTCTTGACTCTCAATTATATTCCATTGATGGGTACATCTATTTTTATCAGTACTGAATTTTCCTGGTTACTATTGCTTCATAGTTAAGTATTTCTTTGGATATACCCAATAATGAGATTGCTGGGTCAAATGCTAATTCAATTTTACGTTCTTTGAGAAATTGCCAGACTACTTTCCATAATGGCTGAACTAATTCCCACTAGCAGCATAAAGGTATTCCCTTTTCTCCACAACCTTCCTAGCATCTATTTTTTTTTTAACCTTTTTAATAGCAGCCATTCTGATTGATGTGAGATGGTATCTCATTGTGGTTTTGATTTGCATTTCTCTAATGTTTAGTGACGATGAGTATTTTTTCATATGCTTGTTGACTATGTGTATACCTTCTTCTGAAAATTGTCCATGTCCTTTGCCTACATTTTCATGGGGTTGTTTTTTGCTTGTTAATTTGTTAAAGTTTTTGTAGATCCTTGATATTAGGCCTTTGTCAGATGCATAGTATGCTAATATTTTCTCCCATTCTGTAAGTTGTCTGTTTACTCTCTTGATAGTCTCTTTTGCTGTGCAAAAGCTCTTTAGTTTAATTAGGTTCCATTTGTCAATTTTTATTTTTGTTGTAGTTTCTTTTGGAGTCTTCATGATGAAATATTTACCAGGCCCTATATCCAGAATGGTATTTTCTAGGTTATCTTCCAGGGTTTTTATAGTTTATAGTTTTAGATTTTACATTTACGTCTTTAATACATCTTAAGTTGATTTTTGTATGTAATGTAAGGAAGAGGTCCAGTTTTAATCTTCTGCATATGGCCTGCCAATTATCCCTTACTAGGCAGTTTTTGTATGAGTTTGAGTCAATCTAGTTATTAGTTATTAGATGAACAGTACCCTAAGTTTGGGTACTGTTAATGCTGCGTTTACTTTCAATGCACCCAGGCTTCTAATTCCTCTGTTACCTTGTGTTCTGGATGGACTTGTTTGCAGGAGATTTTTCTCAGTGGGTGCTTTACCCTCTGCTTTAGGTCTTTCCTTTGCATCTCCCCTTTGTCCTTCTTTGTATCTCCCCTTTATCAGTAGTAGACTGCTGTTACTTATTACTCAGGACCTGTTAACCTGGTTGGGGCAGGGAGTGTGTGCACAGGGAGCTCTGTTGTTATGATTCAGTCACAGTCTTAGCCACTATGGTCCAGGGTTGCAGAAGTGGAGACTTCTCAGTGGTCCTTCCCTTGGGCATCTCAGTAGGAGATCTCTAATGGTTTAGGCCCAGGACATTTTTTTATCCTTTCCCCAGTGGTACAAAAGGATTTTCTTTCTGCTCCTTTATCTGAGGAAAAGCAGATTTGCTGTTCTTTCCAGCTGCTTAATGTTTTGTTCCATATGGGAGACAGATGTGAAGGGTCTGGGTGGGGCTTTGGGCTTTTTCCAACAGTAGCTGTTGCCCACGTCCCCTAGGTCTGTACCATGAAGGAACCTTTCTCTGAACTCTCATCCTGATTCAACCTTTCTGAGAATCCAGTAAAGTCTGTGGAGAAGAGCCTGCATGTACATGTAAATTTCTTTTATGTCCATGGCTCTCTGGGGTTCTATATTCTCATGTTAGCCCACACATAGTCACTTTAGCAATTTGGCAAAAAAACTTTGGATTTTTCTTACCAGTTTATTTGGTGTCCAGCCTCTGCCCCAGGGAGGCATTTGCTCAAGGCTCACGTCTTCTTGGAGGCATCTGTTTTCCTTTAGATTTCAGATTAGCCAATTGTCCTGCAACTTCAGCTCTGTGATCAGTTCAAGAAAAGATTTTATTTTGTAGATTATACAACTTTAAATTTTTGTTGTAAGAGTGGAGATGACACTCTTTCTGAATTTTATCATCCTAAGCAGAAGCTGAATTTCCCTGGATGTATTTTTAATATAGAGCTCATAGGATTTGCTAATCTATAGAGTGAGAGAGACAGAGAAGTCAGGGATGTTCCCAAGATTTTGAGCCTAAGAGACTGGAATAATACATCGCCGTCAAGTGTGTTAGAAAAAGCAGCACATGGAGCACCTTTGAATGGGGAGATCAGGAGTTTAATTTTGAATATGTTGAGTTTTAGGGCTGTAATTGGAAACCCTATTGTCTCTCATAATACTTCTGTTTCTGAGTGTGATGCTTAAAAACCTTCTCTGTTCTTCAAAGCTCCACCTTTAGATAAATAGCATATTTTCTACAGGAAAGGCTCCCTGCACTTCCAACAGGATTGCGAATGAATAATAAGGGTCTCCCCCATCTCAAGAAGGAAGAATAATGAGGACCTTCAGACATGCATTCATGAAGGTGGCACATGTTTCTAAGGACAGGAGTCTGGTTTCTTGAATATTTCCTCAAGAAGATAAGTTGCTATGCGAATAATGAAATTTTGTTAGAAGCAAGTATTTCTATTGTCTTCACAAGTTGAGAAGGTCAAGGACAGTTGAGCCCATGGCAAATACCTCCAGGACCTTAGACCACTTAAGCAGAACATGGGAAGAGGCTGCAAAAACAAGTTGTGCCTGCATTAGCAACCACTCACCTCCAACCTACATAAGTAGTTGAAAAGTACAGAGAAGCAGGGAAAGGAAAGATCTTTGGAAGGAGTTGTTAAGGGCTGTAGCAATTTTCCTAACATCCTCAGGGTTAGGAGTAAGGGGGAAGCACCTGAAACCAAGCAAGAGAATGTTCAGACAACACTTCAGAGATTTTGACACTTATGCCAAGGGTTTGGGAGAGCAGAAGGGTTTGTACTAGAAGCTGTAGCTCCAATGGCCTAAGGAAGCAAAACAAAGAAAGAGGCAGGGCTGCACTGGGGGAAGCTGCACTTCCTCCAGTGGTGGGAAGTTCAGAATTCATTTGTAGAAGTTCCATGTCATTACACATGATTCTCCTATAAATACTGAGAGTCTCCATCAGCCAGCACAGTTTTCTGTGATGTCTGGCCACATCCCAGTCACTTCAAGGAGTCTGATCCATGTCGTTACAAATATCCCAGTGAAGGGCAAAATACAGCTTAGTTCATGATTTTTGCAAGTGAGAATGGAATAAAAGCTAATCAGATCCAAGGTTTGGTTATCATTTGAACTCAACATTATGTTCTTGTCAACTGAAAAAAGAAAAGAAACTGATAAGAGACAACTGATAGAAGAAAAAGAATTTAGGCATACATCTTGCCCAAGCAGAACTAGTTTGGAAGGCTTTCAGGGAAAAGGCTTCTTAGAAGCATGAGACCAGAATGGGGAGCACTTGTGTATACATTTCCACTTAAGTTTTTCCATTTTCCTTCTCTAATATCTTCTTTTGTATAATAATTGCTTCTCTTTATAGGCACAGACTCAGAGATTAGTCATTACCTTGGACTTAAACTTTTTTTTTTTTCAAATGTATACATTTATAGGTTACTACCATTTTTCAGTGGCCTGAGGAAATCTACTATTTTGAAGTAAAGTAACATCATAGAGTATTTTATGTACCTTCATTGTCTTTTACTGGCTTGATGAAGCCAGTCACAGCCCCAACCCACTCTTATTTTTTTTCCTTAAGCAGATGAAAGGAAAGTTGCCCTTATTTTTTCTAGAAATCTATCTTCTTCTGACATGTTGGAGGGCTTATGTATTTTGTTTTATTCTTGTTCAAAGTCTTTAGCTTAAGCTATGTCAAAGCTGTCTATAGCAGCTGACTTCTGCTTTCTGCTGGGTCTTCAATTCCTGTTCCTCCTGCCACAAAAGAATGGTTGCTGATGCTACTTTAGAAAGTGAAGTCATTTGCCTTTTCAGATAAAATAAAGACAGCCCTGAGGAGACTGCAGAATCTTTTCACATGGTGAATATAATAGGAAGAAAGGAAGTGAGGGAGGGAGAAAAAAAAGAAAGGTGGGAAGGAAGGAAGGAAGAAAGGAAGGAAGGACAGAGAAAAAAGGAAGGAAGGAAGGAAGGGAGGAAGGGAAAGAAAGAGAAAGAGAAGGAAAGAAAGAAGAAAGAAAGAGACAGAAAAGAGAGAGGGAGGGAGGGAAAGAAAGAAAGAAAATGAAGGAAGGAAGGGAAAGAGAAAGGGAAAAAGAAAGAAGGAAAGAGAGAAGGAAAGGAAAGAGAAAGACAAAGAAAGAAAGAGAAAACAAAAAAATAGAACTTTCTGTCTGATAGAACTAGACACTGCTCAAGGAGGCCTGGGTGCGACTGTGACACAGGCTCTGGAACCACAGGATAGACCAGTGAACTCCTTTTTCTTGCCAGGTGAAGTCTGTAAGATTTTGATTTGTATGTGAGCTGGAATAGAATTGTGCCTTCAAATAAATGACTTTTCTAACTTTAGGTTATACATGGTGTGATACTAACTTAAAAATAAGTGCATTTTCCTTCAAAGAAACTGTTTCTTACATACAGCAATTTGTAACTTAACAACAGTGAGGTTCTTGGGTGTCTTGTTTTGCATTCCACAGGTAAAGAGAGCTGAATTTAACACTGGTTGCAGGAAAAAAATGCACAAGTGCATTTTAATTTCTCAAATTTCTTTTCTTGGATATGTAATTTTAAGTATATATGACACCAATTTAATAAATATCCTATACATTGCCTATATATAAGGCCTCTTCTGGGGAATTTGGAAGTTATTGATGTTTTTAAGGAGCGTCAGTTCTCATGAATGAAATAGCTTGTGTACAGGATGATAAGCTATTCATTAAACATAATCATTGTGCAGGGAAGTAGCAGGGGTGGTGTTTTGTTCAGAGTCTGTATCAAAATACCCATTCTCTTAGGCTTAGTGTTCTCAGCAAATGGCTATATTTATAACATAAAATGTGAAGTTGTTTTGTAATTGGAAAAGGGGACAAAAACATGTACTGCCATTAGGAAATATCCTTTCGTGTTCAGCTCTGTCATAATTTTTTTTTAGCTCAGTTAATCTAACTGTATAAAATCTTTGTAAATTATGACAACTGTACCTTCTATTTCAAGTGGTGGAATGGTGCAGCTTCTTTGGATGCACATGCAACAACCAAGTCCAAATGCATTTCTCATCACAGGTTTCTTAATTTAGTAAGAACATTATTTTTACCAATATAAGTAATTTTACCTTCAGTGTTGCACTTGTCAACTGAATTCAATATTAATCACAATAATGTCAAATGCTTAAACTACCAGAGTGAATTTCGAAAAGACTTTTGATTTCATGAATTAAATGAAAAAAATTAAATCATGATTTTCTATTTGAATCCCCTGATGGCATCATTTAACTGTTGACTTCTCTTAATGGAGCCAACACATTAACAACCGTTGCTTCACTTTTCATGTGTGCATAAAAAAACTTGGAGAAAGTAATGAGTATAATTAACTTAGAAGAACCGTCTTTTGATCTAAATGAAGTCATGCTTCATAGAGTAATATGTAGCCTCACCTTTTGTAGCCCTCATTTTAATCATTATCTTTTAGCACCATCTTCTTAATGTAGCTATTAACTTTTGAAGTAGATGCTGATGGTTCTTGTGATTGGCAATCTGTGTCTTCTGATTTCCATCTAATCAAGCTTTTCCTAGGCTGCTGGCATGAGACTGCACTTTGCTTTATCACTGAGTGCCCCTCATGCTGTTCTCAAAAAGGAGGGTTAGCTACACTGTGACCAAGTGCTAAAAAAAAGCATTTTGCTCACTACACATATATCTCACAGCCTGTAAGGTGAGAGCATGGCAGAAGCTGCAAGTACAAAGTGGAGGTTTACTAAATCCACCCCAGCTTCATTTAATGCAATATTGACAATAATACTCTGTTAAAACAACAACAAAAAGGACAAATACCCAAACAAACAAAACATGAGGACAACAGGTATAACCCGAGACTGTTCCTGTGAAACCAAGGCATAGGCTGATCCATAGCTGATGATAAGGATGCCAGCTCTGTGGATTAACAAGTGGGAGGGACCAAAGGAATCCCAGAGGGAGGGGTTGGCCTTGGAGAGGCAAGAGAAATTCTACAATACCAGATAAGAAAAAGTGTCAGTAGGTCCACAGCACCTGGGAAAGCCAGAGATCAGTGACAGACAACGTGCAGTAAGATTCATTCAACGCTTAGCAATTTCCTGTTGCTTGCCAAGCATCAGGTATGACAATCAGTACTATTTATTCAGCATCATTACATAACAAACACTTTATCTTATTTAATCTCCACAAAAGAGTGCAAGGTAAGTATTGCTACTTCTGGTTTATAGGGGATAAAACTGAGTCCAGGAGGGGCCAACTGACTTACCCAATTCCTGGCCACTCCCTCCTGTTCTGGGCATTTCTCCTCTGCCTCTCCCCATGTCTCTGCCTACATGAGGAGTAGATGGGAATGGTGACCTCCCATGTTAAAGATATTAAAATCTGTGTGACTGTCTCTCCCACAGAGGTCTGATCATCGTTTTCTCCTCCCGTCAATTCTCCTCCCTTTCCAAATGACCCCTCCAAAAACACATCCTTGTTTAACTAAACCCATTTCCCCTACTGGCAAGAGAGAGGAAATGGGTTTTGATTGTGTTGCAGAAACATCAGGGGTCCACAGCACACTTTGCATCTGATTCAATTTTGTTTTATCATTTTATATTACTAGAGAGACTTTGTTTTTACTTTTTTAATTTAAAAAGAAAGAGGTTTATTTTGCTCATGACTGATGGCTAGAAAGTTCAAGGCTAGGCATCTGTATCTGGTGAGGGCCTCAGGCTGCTTCCACTCATGGCAGAAGGTGAAGGGGAGCTGGCGTGTGCAGAGATCACATGGCAAGAAAGGAAGCA